GAAGGAAATGAAAATGGGCTTTGGATATACAACCTGGCCTTCTGAGTATGTTTACAGTCATGTGCCTTAAACATAACACAACAAACACATGACCTCACAAAATCCAGCACCTCTTAATGACCTTTCCACTTCTGGCAACAAAAAAATTAGGTATCTGTTAAACTAACACACAAACAAATAAAATCAATGACTGTATGAGTTGCCATTCTCCCAAAGATCTGAGGCCAAGATCTTTGCTGTCATGTTTACACTTGGGGCAGGAGTGGGAAGAAAAGACTGGTCGTCAAGTTCTGGAGATTCTACCTTTGCAGTGAGCTCCTTGCGGCGTCCCTGGAATGTGCCCTATCACTCTTGCTTCTTGAGGCCTCGACTTGAGCCAGTCTTCTCATTAAAACTCCTTTCCCTGACTGACTCTATCTACAGTCGGCCCTATTTTAAAAGTCCTATGATCTAGCTCAAATTGCACCTCATTCGTGAAACCTTCCCACCATCCCTGAAACCACCTCATGCATGAAATCTTCCCTGAGATCTCCAGTCCACCTGGCACCTCTCTGCTGAATTCCTCAGGACAAGTTAGTACACTTGTCTTTTGCACTTTCTGGCATATAGTCATTTTCATACCTACTGTGAACCTGGTCTATGACCTTACAAAACGACATCACATCTAAACTGTTAAAAAGCTTTGGGAGAGCAGAGTGGTTACGAGCTTGGGTTCTGGACTCTGTGGTCGAGACTCAGAACACCTCGATTCAAATCCCAGCTCTACCATTTATTAGCTATGTGAATTTGGGGAAGTTAACCTAACCTAATCTCTCTGTGCCTTAATTTCCTTGCAAGCTATTACAGAAAAAAAATAAGCACCTATCTTAAACAGTTATTTAAGGATTAAATAAATTAACATGTAAAGCATTTAGAACAGAGCATGGTGTGTAGTTAGCGCGCAAGTGTTAATTAAGCTGTTACTCATTTTTCTTCGCTCCAGGCCTCTCTACATGCTGCTGTTCCACTCTTAAGGGTGGTTTTGTTATGTCAGAGCTCTGCACAGAGCTCTCCCTAGTCTTCCACGGTCCATGGGTTGGTGCCCTTAGCTTGGTAATCAAGGTGCTCCACAACCTGGTCCCACAGTATCTACTCAGCTTTAGTTACTCAACATTTACTTTATGCAAAATAATAACAAACAAACATATAAGGCAGACACCCTCTCCTCCAGGGCCTGACAGCTAATTACAAAAACAAGGCACAAACATAAAAATATGGCACAGAATGGATGTTTACCCGCAGTTAACTCTCCAATCCAGCAAAACCTGGTTCCTCAGTATTTGAAAGCCATCAAACTCATTCAAAATTATCTGCTTTTGCCTGTTTTATCCCACTGTCATCCCCTCAAAACACACAAAAATCATCCTAAAAGGGCACCTTTTCTTATCTTGTATCTACCCCTATTTTAAGTCTAATTCAAACAGCATCACTCTTGCCATTTAAATGTATGTAATAGTATCTTGCCTCATTCAACTGTTTTCAAGGTGTACAGTCACCCTCTCTACCCAAGATACAGGCTCCTTGAAAGAAGGAATAACAATTTCTTACCAGTTCTCATCATTTTCTCTCCTCTCACCACTACATCCTCCACTGAAACGCATCACGGTAGAACAGGGTGCTCAAAAGTATGCAATGAACATAAGTGAAAAAAGTGAAACCAGACATAGGCAACAACGACTACTACTTACTGGTAAAGTAAACTACAGTGAGGCTGGAAATAGACTGTCAGGCACCAGAACCACCACCGGTCCACGTAGCCTCAAATCAAATGGGACCACCCAAATCAGAAGGAGGCAGGCCACTCACTGTCTTCTCTGTACCCTCATGTGGGTAGATTTGCTTGTCCAGTGATACCTTGAGTCAGGGGAGGGATTAATAACCATTCAATTATCTGCCATCTAATTTGAAAAGTTTGACGTCCAAACGAGTGGCATATGAACTCAGGGCCAGCAGCCATACAAGTCGGTATCCAACCACTACATCCCTGAGTAGATGATTGGAGAGAAAGCTTATTAAATTCCACTTTGTGACAAACCTGTCACCCTCCAACAGGCAAGGTTTTGAGTACCATAACACCTTCCATGAAGTTACCATTAAAAAGTTAGATTTCCTGGACTTCCATGCGCTTACATTTCGCCAGTTCTCTAGAGTGAACAATAATCATTAAGTTTCAAGTGTTTACTGTTTCTTCCAGCTTTAATGGGCCTCCCATGGTGGCCAATGCAGAATGCAACAACCGTAAGTTGAACGTCAACCAAAGGGCAAACGACCCAAATTTTCTACCTCCCAGGGAAAGAGCCAATTTGGACAAAGTTCTCAACTTCATGTTCCAATTTTTGAAATTACTTCTACACATGCCATCACATGACAGAAAAAAATGTATCATTACCTTCCTGAGACTCCACAGCACTACAGCAAAATTGCAGAGAGTGGCCCGGATGGTTCCCTCTTTCCTCTGCTCCAAATGCTCTGCTCCCTAAGTACGGAGGAGCCCCTAATTAGGGCCAGGAACAGGGTGCTAAGTGATCTACATGATTGTCTCAATCCTCCAAACAATAACAGGAACAATTATTACCCCCAGAAGATAAAACAGCCTTAGAGATCTTTGGGGAAAACAACTTGTCAGAGGTGATGCTTAGGGGATGAGATTCCTGCATTGTACAAAGGAATTTGCTGGAACATAGTTAGGCCCCCGAGGACTTTTGTTATGAGACAATTACAGCAGAAATCCTAAAACTGGACCCTTCACACAAAAGAAACAATAAATGATATTCAATCCCACTGTGTACCTCATGATGTCTGGCACATAATAGATGCTCAATAAAAACCTACTGTCTAGCAAAAGCTAAATTTTAAATAGTTAATTCCTCAAACAATTTGATCACATGACAAGATCTGATAGGTCGTTTTAATTATACTACGTGGCACAACACTCAATAATTATATCAACAACTAAACAGAGCATACCCTTAGGTGTGTTTTAGCTAATAAAGCAGGAAAAAATAAATGAAAATCTACACTTATCATTATGAGCATTTAGTAATGCATATAATTGTCAAGTCACTATGTTGTACACCTGAAACCAATGTAACATTATATAGCAACTTCAATGAAAAAGTGAAAGTTGTAGAAATAAGTTATGTATCCTTTAAAGAGTTTTGCTAATAATGAATTCCATTTAAATTTTAACATGTCTCAATTTATACAGTAAACCTTACTGATCTAGTCTTAGTCACCTCAGAATAACCTATTGTGGGGGTTTTAGTATAGTCATGAAAAGCAGTCTTCATATAATCACTATTTTTCAGATAAGTAAAATAAAAATTCTAAGTCTCCTTTGAGTATTGAATCAATGTAAGGTACACGCATTAGCAGAATATATGTTATCATTCTAGCAAATGTGTTATCTGATTAAGCTGAACCTTAAGTGTGGCCCAGGGACATAAAGACAAAAATGTAAAGGCTGGTTGAGTTAAGGCAATGGTGGTTAACTGATATTTGATTCTGACTGCTGCAAAGGTGAGTTCTATGAATATTCTCTTTAAATGATTATGGGTAATCTATGAAGTCTTTCAGGTACCCCAATATTTAGTTTCCAGGAAGGAGAGAAAAGGGTCTGTTCCACAGGTAAACGAGCATATGGTGTTATACAGAAAAATTAACATACTTTTCAGTTCTCATCCTACACACAGAATAGGGCATAGGTATTATGCAAGCACAAGGCACTCGAGCAATCTTTTCCTCCTTTTTTTGAAAAACAATTTATATAATTCCTTAATTTCGTAGCAAAAGAAGTATCCCTCTCTCTCTTCCTCTTAAGGCCCAGGTTTCTTTCATTTCAAAACACTTTATTGAAAGAGAGGTAAATTCTTTTTAAAACACTTAATTACTTAACCAAGACGAAGCAAAAAAAAAGTCAGATGAAACTGGAGATATTCTTAATAGTCTTATATAACTTCCTCTAAGTTGGAAATTGATTCAGTGGCTCAACTCAAACCTGAGATTTAAGCAAAAAGATGAGCTCTTCAGGATATTTCCCCACACATAAAATTTTAAAAATTGAAAGTCTTTTTCTTCTTGTTTCCTTGAAAAACAAGCACCTAGGTCAACAAAAACATGCTGAAATGGTCACACTTAAAATGAAGATCATTAAATTCATTCTACCAAATCTAGGTAATGCAATAATTGATAGAATTGGGTATCATTTTAGGAAATACATTAATTCCCTAACAGTGATTCTTAAATATCACCTCTGTAAGAATGTATTAAGTATTTTTAGTAAGTGCTACAAGGAACATCAAAAGTGGTTTTCAAAAGCAATAGGTAAATGTTCACCCAACATTCAAACCAAACTCAAAATGTAAAGGTACAGTTGTTCATGCTTAATTAAATTGGCTTTGGTGATTGCAAATTAATCCTTCATAGGTAAATATGCATCAAATCTTTGAAAAATGTAAATTTACTTACACACAAAACTGTCCTTACTAGAAAGGCCCTGATTGAGCTGAACTAAAAGCTACGTGTTAACCGCATCTCACCACTGAGATACTTGAGCCCTAGTGTAATACTGTCCGTGGATTCCCTGCATTACTTTGGGAACTGCTGCTTGCCTAATCAAGCCCTGAACTGCAAATTCACCTTTCTAAAAGGACTCAAAACAAGAAGCCAAGTTTCACTATCTAGTATTCCGAAACGAATTAGGGTTTGGGATTTCACCATGGGAATTGGCCATGTTTATCAAAATGCCATCGCCCTCCCTCGGCATTTAATTACAATACCTCTGTGTTTGCCATTCAACCACCTCAATTAAATTTCCACTAGCACCGGACACACAAAAAGTTGATTCCGTGGCCCTGCTGAAAGTCTCCTCTGGGTGCAAACCCTGGAATCCTGCACACGTTATGCAGAAAGGGCCAAGGGAAACGAAAAGTAAAGATTCTTAGACAACGTGGTGACATTACCTTGCCCGTCTTGTGATCAAACCAGACGAGAGCATGGTTCCTGGAGAGCACTTTGCAGTCAAAGGTAGCATTATTCTGCGCAGGTCGACAGCGGGCCACCGAGCGGCCGATTTTAATGGGCTCGTCCAGGTAGACATGACGCTCTTGAAACGGGTGCGAGTTCGGGCGGCAAGTGAAGATGGCCAAGGCTGACGGCATCGAGGACAGACTGGGGGTGTCTTTCCTTCCAAGGGACAAAGAGGGGTTCCACCGGATCCGGACTGCTCTTCACAAGCCTATATCCCTATCCGCCCCCAAATTTTAAATTAAAACAAACTGCGCATTGTCTAAGCATAACCAGTGAACATCAACAACTCTTCGCTCGAGTAGGAAGACAAGCCGGCGCAAGCCCCATCACCTCCTTTACAATCCAGCGGCGCTCCGATCACAAAAAGTCCCCAACTGGCAGCTTTCAGTCCATCTTCTTCCCTGGGAAGAAAAGGCTCAAACATCGGACAGTTTCGGCCAAAACTCCTGGAAGGCAGTTTGGGGACTGGAGGTATCCACACAGATGAGTTACACAGCAATTCGCGGGTTTAGTTTGGGATCGCGGCCGCCTCTCCCCCTCGGTGGCGGAAATGTTGCAGCCCTGCAGCATGAAGGACGGGTCGGTTCGGGCGACCAGGAAGGTCCTTTCGGGCCGAAGGAAGGTGCAGCCGAGCACCTCTGGGCAGCCGCCGCCCGTCCGCGAGGGCCTCGGGAGCGCTGGGCAGAGGCCAGGGGGCGGCGCGGGGGTCTAGACGGCCAGCGGGACAGTCTGCATCGCCCCTGCAGCGCGGAGGCCGCCCGGGAGGTGGCACGGGGTCCCCGGCCCGGCACGAGCCGCGGCAGCGGTGGCTGGGGTCCTGGGCGCGAGGAGCGGGCAGTGGCCGCGTCGGGACTCCCGGGCACCTGGCGGGCGTCCCCGCGACCAGGGCGAGGATCCGGCTCCGCAGGCCGGTGCGGACCGAGCCAGGCGCGACCCCGGGGAGGCTCGGGGGGTCTCGGCCCGCAGGAAGTTGGACTCTGGACGCCTGGACTCCCGGCTGCTGCTCAGAACCCCGGCTGCCTCCTTTCAGGGTCGCCCCCGCGAGGGTCGCATCTCAGGGACGACAGCCGCAGCTCCCGGCGGACGAGGAGGTGGGGGAGGGAGGCTGGCCCGGAGGTTGAGAGAGAGGCCTGGAGGCCCCGGGCTGAGTCCGCCGCAGCCTCCACCGCTCGCGGCCGGTGGGACACGTTCAGACTGTGCCCGACGAGGCAGGAAACTTTCCGATCTGGTGGTGAAAACATCAAAACAAACGGCCGTCAGGCGCCGGTGCCCGCCCGCCTCAGCCCAGACCCCCATCAACCCGTCCCCGCGCCAGTCCCCGCGACTGGACACCACCTCGGCCGACCTCTCCAGGGACGGGCTGTGGGGATTTGGAGCCCGGACGCCACCACCAATCCAGTTTCCCTTGCCGCCGCCGCCACCTCGGCTTACCTTGCCAGCTCCGGCCGCCATAGTGACTCTGACTGAAACCTACCCGGTGCACCGCCACGGGAACGCGCACCCTTCAAGGGCCCTCCTACCCCATCTCCCGCGCCGTAGCCCCGCGTGTCACGTGATCGACGCCGCGGACACCATAATGATCAAGGGCAGAAAAGAGGGCAAGCAAATTTTCAAACGAGCCTCCGGGCGCCATCTTGGGTAAGGGCTGGAAGCTTCAAACCGTAAGACAATCGTTACAACCATTTTGGTCAAGGGCAATAAAGAAATTTGACTTGAAGGTTTTCTGAACAAAACGTGCTAAGGTCTATCCTCGTCATTCTGGTAAGAAGACACTAACCTTTACTAAATTTCATCTACTGTCATTCTCGCTGAAAATACTAACGCGCAAAAAGAAGAGACCCACCCAAAGATGTTCGTTAGCAGCCATTTTAGCTGTGGGCAACCGGTTCACCCACAGCTGCTTTAGGTGTGAGCAACCGAATTCCCACAAGTCTCGGGATGTGTGCATCTGAAATGATGTCCATCATTTGTCCATCCTCCTCCTGCTATCATCTTCTCTGTGTAACCTGCCCGTAGAAAAGCTCAGTCCCTGCATTCCATTTCGAATGACCGTTCTTCTCAGGACCGATCGTGTCCCGCGGGGCTCCAATTCAGATTCTACCGAGGTAAAAGTGTGACTCCAGAAAGTTTAAACTCACGTTGCTTCCAGAGAGACGTCAAACAATTTCCAGTATGAAAAAAAGGGGGTGTTGTCCCCGCTCATACTCTTAAGGTAGATGAGTCACTGGTCTAAAGGAAAGACTGCAAAATGTAAGCGATAATTTCAAGAAAAGGTGTCGGGGCGGAGCCGTCTCCATTTAGAATCAGTGGTGGCTTCATTCTTCAGATACCTTTTGACAACAGGCTCCACCACTATGTGACCTTGGGCAAGTTTCTAAACCTTTTCAAGAAATGTTTAGAAGTGTTTTCTGATCTATAACATAGAGGTAATACACAACTCACCTATTATGTGAATTAAAGGTGATAATCCACGTAGCTCAACAGAGAGTTAAAGAATTGTTCATTTCAAATTTACAGACGGGGTTTTAGCCAGTTCTAAGTTCTGTATTAGGCCCTGGGGACACAGGTGAACAAAACTTCAATCCCTAACATCTGAGAGCACTCTGGGTAAGATTGGGTAGGGATGGAGGAAAGGAGGTGACAAACGCGGATACCGATCATTTCACTTCGATGTAATCAGGGCTAAGATGGAGGTAAGCATCTAGCACCAGGTGCTAAAGGCGTCAGGGACTGCCTTCGAGGGGAGGTAACTGAGCTGAGTGAAGAAAAGGCAGGAAAACTACAACAAATACGGTATGTGCTGAATGACTTCGTAAGTTTCCAAGAAGAGAGAATAGCAAGAAAAGGAACAAAGCTATTAGAAACCGGGACAAATGTTCCTGGCATATAATGGTGACAAAATAAACAGTTGATATGTGAGTGAAAATTACATACTGTTACTTGTTATTACAAGATAGTGGCACAAAGTGAATCTGGAGAGAATGTGCATTTGATTATAAAAACCTTATATACTTTTCTAAGACTCTTCACTGACTCAGCAAATATGCATTGAAGTATTACTGTGTTCCAGGTACTTTGGAGAAAAATAAAAATGTATTGAAAGTTTTATTATGAGTGGATGAGAAGTTTTCATTTCTGGTAACTTTTAAACTTATATGAAATAAAGTACTATAGGGCCCTCCACAAATCCCTAATGAATTCTGTGCATGAATTTATAAGTCATCGATCCACTCTTCCATTCATTCATTCTATAAATATTTAATTGAATGCCTCCTGGGAAACAGATACTTTGACAGGCCCTGGAAATGCAACAATGAAAAAAGAACTTTCCCTGTAGTTGCTCACAATTTAGGTGAAAACAGGGTAAGACCCTTGCTGTCGTAAGTATATCAAGAGTAACGGGAACAGGGCAGAGTAGTTTAAACTGAGACTTGAGAAAAGAGTAGGAGTAGGCCAGGTAGTCTGGCAGTAATGAGATAAGAAAATTTTAGGCCAGGAAAACAGTGTAACAAAAACGCAGAAACCTGTGGGAACAGGACTTTAAGAGGGAATTACAAGTACGTCTGTATTACTAGAGCTTAAGGGCAGATGGCGTATTCAAGGAGAGGAGCACAGAAGTGTGATTTCAACTGCTGCAGGACTTGTAAGCAATCAATGGACTTTAGAACATTTCCATCTTTGTCCTGGAAGGTCAAAGAAAAGTAATGGAAAATCAAGGTTTCAGAATCAAACATTGCCTCACCATTATCAGCACTGTAAATGGTAAACTATTTAGCTTCTCTGTTTCCTTATTTGAAAAAAAGTAGATAATATCTCAGAGTTAAATAAGATAAATGAGGTAAGGCAAGACCAAGTGCCTAACGTGATGCCTAGAAAATAGTAGACATTCAGAGAATGTTAGTTTTTTATTGTTACTAATAGTAAGAATTCCCCCAGACTTCCACATACAGTAGGGAGCACGTTGTATTATCCCTAATTTGTATATGAAGAAACTTGTTCATAAATGTGGAAACAAGAAGTGTTTCTTTTTGTTCAGTTCTACTACAATAGCTCTTAAAATTCATGTTAAATAGCATAGGCCTTTTTTCCTGGAAAGAAAACAAAAACAAAACTGGGATTGCTATAACCTGGTAAAGAATCCTACCAAGCTACTCGGGGTGCTGGAAATGCCAAAATGGCATTGAAGGCGTTCTTCACCCACTGGTATTTGGTAGGCACAGAAAAGGCTTAAATTAAGAAATATCATACATGAGATATTTTGAATTCTAAGCCATGTGGGTGTTCCTCTCTCTGATTCTGTATCCATACAATACTTTAATTACATAAAAAACATATCATGTCTTGAGAAATTTGGAATGGTAGTATTTCCCAATGTTGTAGCTTTCTCTCGTGTTTTAAATTTTTACCTTTTTAATCGATTGGTAACTATTACCACTGCTCTGATCCACGCTGCTTTTCAATATTAGAAAAGTGAAGAGAGAGTTATAACCCCAGTACCATGAAAGACAGGCAATTACTAGCATTTCAGATGTGTAGGAGACAACTCTGTAAGTTCATTAATATGCAACCCTCCGTAAGTGATAATGATCTAATTGGACTTTAACCAATGACATATGATATAATGAATTATGGAACACTTGCAGAACTGCTTAAGCATAGTATCTGGATTGCAAATACAAGGAAGCAACCTAAAGAGGAGGCCTGGAGTAGTCAAAGATCAAAACTGAGAGGATGCAGTATTTTTAATGGCACACAATGGCTTATTAAAACTGAAGTTTGATCCTCTTCCTAAAAAGGAAGGCTCTCCTCACCAGGGAGATTCTAATGAGTGGAAATACCCTGTCATTTCCCAGGTGCTCAGAGCGGAGTGGCCCAGACATTCCAGAGATACTGATCATCTGTTTTGGCTTCCTGGTTCTTCAGGAAATCAAAGAAAAACAATTACCTGACAAGTAAAGACATTTATTTTTCATTAAGCAATCTGTTTCTGTGAATATAAAGAGAGAGAATCAGAATACTGACTCACAAAAGGATCATGGTCTATTCATCAAGCTCCTTCATTTTGCAGGCCCAGAACCTGAAGTTCAGCAAAGAAACCTTTATTAAATATGTATTTACTATGTGGTAAGGCATTTTCCTCACATGTCTGTGTGGTATTAATCCCATTATAGAGGTAGGAAAACTGAGGCTCAAAGAGATTAAGTGACTGATCTTAAATCACCATGCTAGATCTGAAGAACATGCTAGGTGTTTCTTTCTTTTTAAAAAATATCTTTACTGGCTTTTTCAGATTTGATAAAACAAATATATTTTCATTTTATACATTCAAATAAGCAACGTAAGGACAGTAAATGTCCTCTCTAGCTTCATTTCAAATCCTCAGTCTAGAGCTAAGGACTGTTAACAGTTTGTCAGCTATATCTTTCCAGATGGTTTCTAAGCCACACGAGGCATGCCCTTTTTAGG